TCCCATCTTAGGGTCCTTTACCTCCACTCCAGTTCAGTTACTGTCACACCTGGAACTTACCATGTGGAACACCTCTGACATCTGTGATAATACAGCTTGGCATTCCACCCCTTGACCTCATCCCCTATTCTTCCACCATATTCTCTCAACTGGTCATTGTTTTCAACTCCAGGTCATTAATTATTCTACTTATCTATGCACCAAGTTCTTATCTTAACTTCCTCCCTCATCAAGGCATACTTCAGGGTCTATCTGGTAGCCAATGTTTAAAAAGCTCTACTTTTATAGGCCTCATCCAATCCCCTTTAATCCTTCCTATTTGGCAAAATCTCATCTCTCTGCCTTTTCCAGAAATGCCTTTAAGTAACTGATCACTATTGGATTAAATCTCACAAGTCTACTGGCACTATGATAATATTCATGGTCTACCCCAGCACTATCTGGAAATAAGTCACTCATTTGTTCCAATCATAATTATCTGGTGCTTACTAACAGTAAACAAAACAAATAGAGCTTAGGTCACTTTGTTTTAGTCCACTCTCTCCCATGCTGCTCAAGTCTATTTCAAACCTTCTGTACTTTCCTCAAACTGAGGCCACTTCCACTTGCTTAGCAGATGTGCTGGACTTACCATTCACAGAGGAACTAGAAGCCATCAGATGGGAATGTTTCATCATAAAAACCTTTAAAAAACTATCCATCTCTCCTTTCCTTCTTTATTCCTGTTATATAGAAAGAGATTTCCTTCTAAGATTTCTATCCTCAAAGGAATTACATTACCTGAAATGTCTTTACTGTGAGATAGCTAAAACCTAGTCTTTTTTTTTTTTTTTTTTTTGAGACAGTCTTACTCTGTCGCTGAGGCAAGAGTATAGTGGTGTCATCATAGCTCACAGCAACCTCAAACTCCCTGGGATCAAGCAATACTTCTGCCCCAGCCTCCCGAGTAGTTGGGCCTACAGGTATGCACCACCACACCAGGCCCTGACACCTAGTCTTGATGGGCTGATCCACCCTTTTCAGCTCTCCTTACTGCCCCCTCTCCTCTCCTCATGAGACACTCAATATCTTTTACTTTTTAAAGCTTTTTATTATAAAAATGTTTAAACATACACAAGAGCAGATAGAACAGTATAACTCCCCATGTACTGATCACCTAACTTGTACAATTACCATGTGTTATGTGTCCCATCTTTTCTACTATGATTAAAGTGTAAGTCCATTTAAACATCTTGCTATCTATCTCTCAGAAGATATGCCATGTGTCCTATGTCAGTGCTCTCACATTCCTTTGATATTTATCACATGAGTATCACTCTTATCCACAGCAGAAGCCCACAGCATTGGTGAAACACATTGAGCTTTACTGGCTTTGGCAACCAGCTCTGCTCTGCCTTGTAGTCAACCATGAGAAATCATTTGAATTCCTCCCCCCACTACATACAAACAGTAAACTTTACAGAAAAAAAAATTCAGTACATAATATTGCAGTCCTTTAATCACACAGTAAGTATAACTTGAAAAGTAGGAAACTTTATTAATACATGCTGATAAAAAATTGAGATAGCTATATAAATGTTTTCAAATATTTAGAAGAAAACAACTTTTTCCTGTCACACATTTAAAATGAGTTATTGTGTTTCCAGTTAAATATAGTAGATCAAATATCCTTGCTTATCTCCTCTCCTTCCCAAAATGTCATTTAAAATAAAGGATTATATGAAAAATGCTCAACATCATTAATTGTCAGGGAAATACAAATCAAAAGCACTATGAAATACCACTTCATACCCCCTATGATGTGTAGAATCAAAAAGTCAGATGAGTGTTTGGGGAGAAACTGGAGAAATTGGAAGCCTCATACAATGCTGGTGGAAATATAAAATGGTGTGGCTGTTTTGGAAAACAGTCTGGCAGTTTCTCAAGTTTTAAACAGGATAGGCATATAACCCAGCAATTCATCTCCTACGTATATACCCAAGAGAAATGAAAACATATGTCTACACAGAAACTTGCACACAAATGCTCATAGCAGCATTATTTATAATAGTCAAAAGGTGGAAACAACTCAAATGTCCATCAACTGATGAACAGATAAACAAAATGTGGTATATCCATAGAGTGGAATATTACTCAGCTGTAAAAAGAATAAAAAATAAAGTATTAGTACATGCTACAACATGGATGAACCTTGAAAACATTATGCTAAGAAGCCAGAAGCAAATGACCACCTGCGATTCCAATCTCATGAAATGTTCAGAATAGGAAAATCTATAGTGACAGAAAGTACATTATGACTTCTTAGGGCTGGGGGAATGAGGGGTAGAAGGAGTGATGGCTAAAGGTTATGGGATTTCTTTCTGAAGTCATGAAAATGTTATAAAATTGGCTTAGGTGATGGATGTACAACTTTGATATACTAAAAACGAATTATGCACATTAAATGGGTGAAGTGTGTGGTATGTGAATTGTATTTCAATAAAACTGTTTAAAAAGTAAAGGATTTTAACAAAGTGAGTGCTTGAGGATGACAAGAATAGGAGACGGTACAACAGAAGAGGTCAACACATTTCTGGAAGATGGAAACCCAGGTAACTGATTTAGCAAAGCAGATAAAGCACCTACAAACCAGTCACACCACAAAACCCCAGAAGACAAATGACATGGTGGCATCAAGTAAGAATTAGGGGTTACTTGCTATAAATATGGTTCTTTGAAATTTTGGTCCTTTTTTTGTTTTACATTGTGTGTAATTAAAAAAAGTTCATGAGGGGTGCTCTTTTCCAGTATTTCCTAAAACTCTGTTGAAATGTTAGCATGCTTTAATGTGGAAAGAGGATCCCAGGTTCTTCCTTGGGACAGAACCTGAGACCACTGTTTTAAAGTTGGCATTGCACATTACTGGGGTCTGGGTGTGGTGTCGTAAGTGCGGGAATCAAAGCCAAAAATCTCAAACGTTATGTAAAACTAAAGACAACATTGCGAATGGTCCATTTTTAAAATGTATTAATTTGAAAGTAATTAAATTTGTATAAAAGTTGCATGGAATGAGTGGATTAATAAAATGTTGTTTATGTATACCATGGAGTACTACTCAGCCATAAAAGGATGAATTAATGCTTTTTGCAGCAATTTGGAAGGAACTGAAGACCATTATTCTAAGTGATGTATCTCAAGAATGGAAAAGCAAGCACCACTTGTACTCTCTAATGCATTGGAACTAACCGATGATGCACAGAGGAAAGTAAAAGTCATTGGAAATCAAGTGGGTGGAGGGGGAAGGAGGAGAAAACCAAACCCCACCTACTGGGTACAATGAACACTATTTGGGTGATGGGCACATTTATATCCCTGACTCAAGTCATGTATCAAAAACCTCTGTACCTCCTTAATATATTTTTTTTTAATTTCGGCATATTATGGGGGTACAGATTTTAAGGTTTCAATAAATGCCCATCCCCCCCTCCTCCCACAAGTCTGAGTCTCCAGCATGACCATCCCTCAGATGGTGCGCATATCACTCGTTATGTATGTACCCGCCCCCCCAATACCCTATTACTGTAGTACCTATGTGTCTGTCCACTTAGGTGCTACTCAGTCAATACCAGTTTGCTGGAGAATATATCTGGTGCTTGTTTTTCCATTCTTGGAATATTTTTAAATAAAAATAAATAAATAAGAAGACAGGCAAAGAAAGGAGCTGCCATTACTGCTAAACCCTCACTAATATGGAAGGGAAAGGAAAGGATCGGGTGTCTGGGGTCAAAACAGATTCATCAGATTCAGTGACGGAGTGTAGGCAAGCAATATAAGGAAATGACACAGGGTTTCATTTCATCAGTGTATAATCTAAATAAGGGTGCTTTAAGGCTTACAACTGTTAAATGACCAGCTAACATGGGGAGAGAAAACAAATACATATACATCATCAACAAAAGTAACATAATTGTTTTAAAAAGTATAGAGGAATTATGGTGAAAATTTATAAAGTATATGGGGGAAAATTGTATAACTTTTCATGGAGGAAATAATCATAGATGTTATTCAAAACAAAAGGCATTGCTAACTATAATTTCACTTGTGCTCCTTAGAGGTCACATTAAGCTAAAGAGAAGCCTGCTCCCTAAATAAGGGTGGGTTTGGTTGTGTGGGTTCTGGTTCAACACAATTGCTCTGTAAAACTGAGGTAGAATTAAAAAATATTGGGAGGAGGAGAGAGAGTCTGGTAGAGAGAGGAAAGAGGGAGCAGTAGGGTAGAATACTGTATAGGTGGAGGTGGCTAGATTTGAGAATCCTTAGAGGCAGAATAACCTAAAAGGGATTTAGAGAGAAAAAGAGTTTTTCAAGTTTTTGCCATGGGTATGTTTCCATTCCCTTGTTTCCCTCGTCATTGTACAGGCTACTCTGCCCTCTAATGATTTTTGGCAAACATGGATCCTTTTGGGGAATTATAGGAGGTTCGGCTGCTGCTGAGTATATTTCTGGTTTTGTACAGGCAAACAACTACTGCATATGCATGGAAAGCTGTAGTTCAGGACAGAGTAGATTTTGAGTGTGTAAATCCCTGGGCACATCAGACTTTCAAAGATCATGTGGTGTCTGAAGGAAGATCACCAAGCAGTAACAGGTAGAATAAATAGAAAGTTTCACTAAGGTGAATGTATGAAATAGTGAAAGGGTGGGGTTAGAGGGTAGGGAGGAGGGATCTAACAGGTCCCAGGGGGATAGGCAGATCAGCTGGGCTGGATGGTGCGGGGGAAAAACTGTGGGTTCATTTCACATATGGTTTTTTTTTATTTAAGCATATTATGGGGGTACAAATGTTTAGGTTACATATATTGCTTTTGCCCCAACTGAGTCAGAGCTTCAAGTGTGTCCGTCCTCCAGACTGTGTGCCCTGCACCCCATCTCACATGTGTTGTCCCCTCCCCCACCCTTAAGAACCTCTGGTGTCTGTGCTAAAGCTCTGTGATGTGGGCCTGGAACTCTGGTTTAGAATACGCACTCAGTGCTCAGTGTCTGATATGGACCACATTTGTCTGAGGAGCCATACTGCACCATGGCTGATCTGTTTGACTTTGTGGGTATTTCTAACCTCACCTTCCTGTGTGGCATGGGGCTCTTCCTTCTGTCTCTCTGGTACCGAGAGAAGAATCTATGTTTCCCAATATTTTGGAAACAAAGAGACATTAATCAGGTAAGTAAACCAGTCGCTCAGAGATTTTAGATCTTTTTTCTTTTCTAATATATGCATTTAATGATGTAAGTTTCCCTCTAAGTACTGCTTTTCCTGCACCTACACATTTTGATAAGTTGTATTTTCATTTTCATTTAGTTTAAAATATTTAAAAATTTCTCTTGATATTTCTTTTATGCATGTATTATAGAGTGTTGTGTAATTTCCCAGTATTTTGGGATTTTCTAGCTGTCGTTCTGCTATGCATTTATGGTTTTATTCCATTGTGGTCTGAAAGCAGATATTATATGATATCTAGTCTTTTATATTTGTTAAGGTGTGTTTTATGGCCCAGAATGTGATCTTTTTTAATGTTCCATGTGAGCTTGAACAGAATATGTATTGTGCTGTTGTTGGATGAAGTATTTGATACATATCAATTAGATCAAGTTTACTGATAGTGCTATTCTGATCCACTATATCCTTACTGATTTTCTGTCTACTAGATCTGTCAATTACTGATAGAGATGTTGAAGTCTCTAACAATAATAGTGGATTCATCTATTTCTCTTGCAGTTATACCAGTTTTTGCCTCATATACTTTGACACTCTGTTGTTGGATGTATACACATGAAAGATTGTTACAGCTTCTTGGAGAACTGATCCCTTTGTTATTATTTAATGCTTGCCTTTAGCCCTATAATTTTTCTTGTTCTAAAATTTGTTTTGTCTTAAATTAATATAACTACTCCTGTTTTCTTTTGATTAGTGTTAGCATGGCACAGTTTTTCCATCATCTTATTTTTAATCTACCTCTTTATATTTGAAATGGGTATCTTGTTGACAGCATATAGTTGGGTCTTGTTTTATATTCACTGTGACAGACTGTCTTTTAATTGGTGAATTTAGGCAATTGACATTTAAAGTGATTTTTAAAATATAGTTGGATTAATATCTACTATTTTTGCAATTTTTTACTATTCATGGTACCTATTCTTTTTTTTTCTCCCCCTTTTTTCTGCCTTCTGTGGTTTTAAACAAGAATTTTATTTTATTTATTTTTGATTGAGATGATATTTTATTTTTAGAGATAGGGTCATGCTCTGTCACCAAGGCTGGAATGCAGTGCTATTATAATCGTAGCTCAGTGCAGCTTGGAAACTCCTGGGCTCAAGCAATTCTCCCACCTCAAGTTCGTGAGTAGCTGGAATTCTTCCACCTCAAGTTCGTGAGTAGCTGGGACAACAGATGTGGGCCATCATACATGGCTAATTTATATTTTTAGAGACAGGCCTTGCTATGTTGCCCAGGCTGGTCTCAAATTCCTGGCCTCATGTGATCCACCTGCTTGAGGATCTAGAGTAGCCGGGACTATAGGCACAAGCCACCATGCCTGGCTATTTTATTTTTAATTGTTATGCTTAAGGTGTACAAGATGATGTTTTGATATAATTATGCATAGTGAAATGGCTACTACAGTCAAGTCAATTAACATAGCCATCATGTCACATATTACTTCTTTTGTGTGATAAGAGCATCTAAAATATACCCTATTAGCAAGTTTCCAGTATACAATACAATATTGTTAACTATAGTCCTCATGCTGTACATCGTGAGATATTTAGATTTATTTATCTCACATAATTACAACTTTGTACCTACATCTTCCCATTTCTTTCCTCTACCCCTCTGCCCCTGGTAACCATTATTCTACTCTGTTTCTATGAATTCAACTTTTTTTTTTTTTTAAGATTCCACATATAAGTAGGATCATACAGTATTTTTCTTTCAGTGTCTTGATTTATTTCACTTAGCATAATGACCTCCAGATTCATCCATGTTGTTCCAAAGGGCAGTATCTCCTATTTTTTTTTTAAGGCTGATACATATCTTATGATTTCTTTATCCATTCATTCATCAATAAATACTTAGGTTGTTTTTCAACCTTGGTTACTGTGAATAATCTTGCAATGAACATAGGGGTGCAAATATTTCTACAAGGTACTGATTTTATATACTTTGGAAACACATAAAGCATATTTTGTCTGTTATAAATATAGCAATTCCTGTTGTCTTTTGGTTACTATTTGCATGGAATATCTTTTTCCATCCCTTCACTTTCAGCCTATGTGTGTTCTTAAAGCTAAAGTGGATCCCACATAGTCAGCATATAGTTGAATCTCATTTTTTTCCAATCAGTCAGCCACTCTATGTCTTTTTTTTTTTTTTTTTGAGACAGAGTCTCGCTTTGTTGTCCAGGCTAGAGTGAGTGCCGTGGCGTCAGCCTAGCTCACAGCAACCTCAAACTCCTGGGCTCAAGCAATCCTCCTGCCTCAGCCTCCCACGTAGCTGGGACTACAGGCATGTGCCACCATGCCCGGTTAATTTTTTATATATATATCAGTTGGCCAATTAATTTCTTTCTATTTATAGTAGAGACGGGGTCTCGCTCTTGCTCAGGCTGGTTTTGAACTCCTGACCTTGAGCAATCCGCCCGCCTCGGCCTCCCAAGAGCTAGGATTATAGGCGTGAGCCACAGCGCCCGGCCCACTCTATGTCTTTTGACGGAAGAACTTAATCCATTTACATTTCTATTAATTATTAATATATAATGATCTACTATTGCCATTTTGTTAATTGTTTTCTGTTGTGTAGTCCTCCTTTGTATCTCTCACCATCTTCCTTTACAATTTGGTGATTTTTAAAAACAAGCATTTTATATGATTCAATTTTCTTTTCTCTCTTAGCTTATACATTATATTTCTTTTACAAATTTTAATGGTTGCCCTAGTTTATAATATATGTTTACAACTAATTACACTGCACTTACAAATACTATATTGCTTTACAGCATAGTAGTGAAGGTACCTTATAATAAAGTTTTCCCAATTCCTCCCTCCTGTCCCTTATAACATTGCTATAATTCATTTCACTTATACTATAATTATCCAATATGTTTTTGTTGCTGTTATTATGTTAATTAAGAATAAGAAAAAGAAAAGTTCTTTTTTACCTTCTTTTATTCCTTTGCTGGTGCTTTTCCTTTTTTGATATATAGATCTGAATCATCATTTTCTGTCTCCTTGAAGAGCTCCTATAAGATTTCTTGCAGGGCAGGTCTGCTGTTGCTGAATGCCCTTTGTGTGTTTTTGTTTTTGTTTGTTACAGAAAGTTTTTATTTCTCCTTCACTTTTGAAGGATAATTTTGTTGGATATAGGTTTCTAAGTCAGTGTTATCCTTTTTTTTCTATCAATACCTTAAATATCTCACTTCGCTCTTCTTGTTTGCATTGTTTACAGTAAGAAGTATATAATTCTTACTTTGTTCCTCTTTTGTTCCTCTTATATTTTGCTCCTTCTTATATATAAGAATTATTAAGTATATAATTCTTATTTTGTGTTTTTTCTCCTCTGGATTCTTTCAAGATATTTTTTCATTTAGTTTCCTTCAGTTTGAATATGATATGCCTAGCTTATCATAACTATAAATCTCATCCTGCTTGGTGTTATCTGAGCTTCCATGATCTATGGTTAAGTTATCACTAATTTTGGAGAATTCTTGGCTATGATTACTTCAAATGTTTCTTTTGCTTCATTCTCTCTATTCTTTCTGGTATTCCAATTACAAGTATGTTACATATTTTGAAACTGTCTCACAGTTCTTGAATAATCTGGGTTTCAAAAATTGTTAATTATTTTTCTCTTTGCATTTCAGTTTGGGAAGTGCCTATTGACATATATTCAAACTCATTTTTCCCTCCTTGGCCATATGTAGTCTACTGATGAGCCCAGCAAGGGTATTCTTCATTTTTGTTATGATGTTTTTTATTTCTAACATTTCCTTTTTATTCTTTCTTAGACTTCCCACCTCTTTGTTTACATTCCTCATCTATTCTCGCATGTTGCCTACTTTTTCCATTAGAACCCTTAACACATTTATCATAGTTTTTAAAATTCCATGTATGATAATTTCCAAATTGGTGCCACATGTGAGTACAGATCTAATGCTTGCTTTGTCTACTTTATTCAGACTTTATTCTTGTCTTTCAGCATAACTTCTGATTTTTTTGTTGAAAGCAAAGCACAATGTATTGGGTAATAGGAATTGAGGTAAATAGGCTAGAATTTATGTTAATCTGTCTAGGAGTTGTTTGCTATAGTTGTACATAACAAAGCCTTTAATTTTCTTTAGTGTCCTTGTTTTTGTTCCCCCTGGTATCATGCATTTTGCCTAAGATCATCTCCTTAAGTGTAGCCTACACACTGCAGCTCTTTCAACTATCATCCCTTGTTACCATACTGGAGCTCTGTTAATGTGTGGTAAGGTGTGGGGGAGGTGATATGATTAAACCTCAGTCTTTTTGTAGACCTATGTCCCCGGGCTGTGATGTTCACAGTGTTTCTAAGATTTTTTCCTCACTCATTAGGTAATTCAGGAAGGTTAGAGGGGGCTAGAGTTGGGTAACTTCCTTTCCTCCATGTGGGATAAGGCTCTGGTTGTATTTTCCCCTGATGAGTAGGCTTCTGTTATGAACAACACTCAGGGTATATTTCAAAATTGTTACCTTTCCCTTATCCGTGCTAGAAGCATGAGGGTTTTCTCATGGCTCTTCACTGCAAGAACTTGATGGAGCTCCTAGCAGTAAAACTCATGAAAATGTGGGGGATCCCCTGAAGACTGTGACCTAGGAATTTTCTTACTCTCAGGCTAGCTCACACACATCCTCCAGAAATTCATCAAAGTGTTCATTTAAGTGTTCCTACCATTTTATGGCTCCAAAGGCTTCTGTTCCAGGTAAGCTGATCTCTACTATGACTCTCTTCATTTACCCCTTCTGAAGATTTTGGGGGGTGGTTTGCCCTGTGACCTCAATTCTCTGGTGGCTCCAAGAAAAGGCATTTTCAGTTTGTTCAGTTTTTTTCTTTTTTCTGAAGTTGACAGTAGGGTCTTCCAAGCTCTTTCTATGTCAGAGCTGGAACCAGAAGTCGCCTCTGGGAGAATGAGTCTTTATTTTCCTGTTCCTCTTCCCACATTTCTCAGTGAGTTTGATTGGCTTAAAGAGATGCCTGAGATGGGATGCCTGAAAAGAAGATAGAACATCACTTTTCTAGGAGCAGAGGTTGGGCAGGGCTAGGGTTTCAGGAGGACTAAGGTTTCCACCTGAGGCTCACAGGCTACCTGTCTGAGTGTGATGGGGGGCGGTGTTCCAGGACAAACCCTCAAATACAGTGATTTTGTGGTCCTGGATTGGCATATTTAGAAATTGTGGGTTCTCTGAAGGAGAACAGGCTCTCCTGACACTTGATCTCAAGTCACATTCCCACATCAGTCAGGTGTCACTCGACCAAGCCTTCCTTTGTGTTGGGCTGATCAGGCGAGCAATGTCAAGAGCCCCCAAGCTCTGTCCCCAGGATACAGGGTCTTTGGAGGGCAGATGTGACTGTTGCTTTCTGATCCTGTGTCCTCCTTGAGCACAGGACTTCTGAGAACATCAAGTGGGGATTTCATAGACAAAATCCTCCTCTGAGTTTTTCAAAGAAGGGAAAATTGGAAATATTTTATCACCTTTAAAAATTGATAAAAGGAACAAATTTCTATTCATTAAAATGGAGAGTCATGTTATTCATGGATAATGAGCATCTGCACTTCCTAGAGAGAGGAGGTGATACAAGCAGGTCCTAACCTCTCATTCTTTTTTTATTTTATATTATTTATTTATTTATTTATTTATTTATTTTTTCCATGCCACCAAATTTTTTATTTCAGCATATTATGCGGGTATAGATTTTAAGGTTTCAATAAATGCCCATCCCTCCCTCCCCCCACAAGTCTGAGTCTCCATCATGACCATCCCCCAGATGGTGCACATCTCACTCCTTATGTATGTGTATACCCGCCCTCCCCCCTCCCCCTGCCCAATACCCTATTACTGTAGGACCTATGTGTCCACTTAGGTGCTACTCAGTTAATACCAGTTTGCTGGTGAGTATATGTGGTGCTTGTTTTTCCATTCTTAGGAAACTTCACTTAGTAGTATGGGTTCCAGCTCTAACCAGGAAAATATAAGATGTGCTATATCACCATTGTTTCTTACAGCTGAATAGTACTCCATGGTATACATATATCACATTTTATTAATCCATTTTTGGATTGATGGGCACTTGGGCTGTTTCCACAGCCTTGCAATATGAATTGTGCTGCTATAAACATTCGAGTGCAGGTGTCTTTTTTGTAGAGTGTCATTGGATCTTTTGGGTAGATGCCTAGCAATGGGATTGCTGGATCAAATGGTAGATTCACTTGTATCGCTTTAAGGTATCTCCATATTGCTTTCCACAGAGGTTGAACTAGTTTGCAGTCCCACTAGAGAGAGGAGTGTTCCTCTCTCTCCGCATCCATGCCAGCATTTATTGTTTGGAGACTTTTTGATAAAGGCCATTCTCACTGGGGCTAAGTGATATCTCATTGTGGTTTTGATTTGCATTTCCCTGATGATTAGAGATGATGAGCATTTTTTCATATGTTTGTTGGCCATTCTTACGTCTTCTTTAGAAAAGTTTCTGTTCAAGTCCTTTGCCCACTTTTTAATAGGGTTATTTGATTTTTTTCTTGCTGATTTTCCTGAGTTCTAAGTATATTCTAGTTATCAGCCCCTTATCGGATGCATAGGATGCAAAAATTTTCTGCCATTCTGTAGGTTGTCTGTTTACTTTCATGACTATTTCTTTGGCTGTACAGAAGCTTTGTAGTTTGATCATGTCCCATTTATTGATTTTTGTTGCTGCTGTGATTGCCTTTGGGGACTTCATAAACTCTTTGCCTAGGCCGATGTCTAGGAGAGTGTTTCCAACACTTTCCTCTAGAATTCTAATAGTTTCATACCTTAGGTTTAAGTCTGTTATCCAGTGTGAGTTGATTTTTGTGAGAGGTGAAAGGTGTGAGTCCTGCTTTAGCCTTCTACAGGTGGCTATCCAGTTTTCCCAGCACCATTTATTGAAAAGGGATTCTTTTCCCCAGCGTATGTTTTTGTCTACTTTGTCAAAGATTAGATGGCTATATGAAGATGGTTTTATATCAGGATTCTCAGATCTGTTCCACTGGTCAATATTTCTATTTTTGTGCCAATACCAGATTGATTTAATTACTGCAGCTTTTGTAGGATTAGTTGATATCTGGCATATTAATGCCTCCCATTTTGTTTTTGTTGCCTAGAATTGCTTTTGATATTAGGGGTCTTCTTTGGTTCCATATGAAGTGTAAAATTATTTTTTCTATATCTGTGAAGAATGCTGATGGGATTTTAATAGGTATTGCATTGAATCTGTAGATCAGTTTGGTAGTATAGACATTTTAATGATGTTGAGTCTGCCGATTCATGAGCATGGTATAGATTTCCATCTGTTTACATCCTCTGCTATTTCCTTCCTCAGTGTTTCATAGTTCTCCCTGTAGAGGTCTTTTACGTCCTGGGTTAAGTATATTCCTAGGTACTTTAATTTCTTTGTTGCTATTGTGAAGGGAATTGAGTCTTTGATTTGGTTCTCAATTAGATTGTTGTTGGCGTATATGCATGCCTCTGATTTCTGTGTATTGATTTTGTATCCTGAGACTTTACTAAATTCATGTATGAGTTCCAGGAGTTTCTTGGTGGAATCTTTGGGGTTTCCTAGATATAATATCATATCATCAGCAAACAGTGAAAGTTTGATCTCTTCTGCCCCTGTTTGGATACATTTAAGTTCATTTTCCTGTCTGATTGCTGTAGCCAGAACTTACAGCACTATGTTGAATAGAAGTAGAGATAGTGGGCAGCCTTGTCTGGTTCCAGTTCTAAGTGGAAGATGCGTCAATTTTTCCTCATTCAGTATGATGTTGGCTATAGTGCGTGCATATATGGCTTGATCATTTTTAGGTATGTCCCTTCTTATGCCTATTTTTTAAGTGTGTCTGTATCATGAAAGGTGTTGAATTTTGTCAAAAGCTTTTTCTGCATCTATTGAAAGAATCATGTGGTCATTGTTTTTGCTTCTGTTTATGTGGTGAATTGCATTTATAGATTTACATATGTTGAACCGTCCCTGCATCCCTGGGATAACCTCTCATTCTTTTCTTTTCCCTCCCACATCAGGGCAAAGCCAAGAGGAGACGGAAACATGGGACACAGAAAGGTAAGGCTATGCCTGTCTGACCTGAGTTCCCCAAGGGTTAGCCTTCCTCTTCCTTCTTGAGGTGCCAAGTCCCTGATCTCTGAGGATGTCAGTTGCTAGATACAGTCTCTCTGGGAAAACAGAGCCCTCAGAGGAGGCTCATGGGAAGGTAATGTGACCTGAGATACTTCTCAGAATTTCTGCTCTGCCAGTGTGGGCATGAAGGTGGGATGGACCTGGGCAGTGGTCGTTGCCCTATATGTGGCCATGGGATGTTGAGGAAGGACTACTGATGGCTTTGGAATCAGAACTTCTGTCTCCTAACTTTGTGTAAGTACTTGGACTTCCTGGTGTTCAGCTTCCTCTTTGAGATAGCCCCTGATGTTTATGTTTCATGTGGTGTTTTGAGCATCATGTGGGATAATGCATGTGAAAGCATTTTATAAATAAGGCCACATACACATGTGAACCTTGTTAATATTGTCAAAGATGATTTGACCCTCTCCTGATTCTTGGGACTCTCCAAGACCAATCAACGAAAGATACCATTAAGAGACATTGTACTCAGACTCCTGTAAGATCTCTCTGCTTCTGACTCCATCACTGTCCTGTAACCTGCTCTCCTATCTTTCCAGGTTGGAGAGATTGCCAGAGTGAAGTAGAGGCGGCAAGGAAGCTGCTTTCTTTTCTGCAAAGGTGATTAAACATTATCCTTCTTTCCTGCAGCCCTCTTTTTAGTAGAGTCTATGCAATGGGGTTGACAATGGGATGGAAAATCCACAGTGAAAGCCTGTGGTGAGAGGGATAAAAGATATATTGTGAGATCAGGGAAGTGGGAGCCTATAAAAGGACAGTATGCATTCGGTAGCCCTAGCTTTGCCAGACCTGCTGAGGTCACATATTTTTGTTTTGGTCTGGCTGCAGCTTTGTACTCCCTGTCTTCTGCAGCCCCTCATGCCAGCATCAAGATACCATCTGCTTCCGTCAACTGTTGTGCCCAGACCCCCTCTGTGAGGTGTGCAATAGAACAACTGCTGAGGTCAAGCGACTGCTGTTCCAGGAGTCTCCAGAAGATGCTGCTCCCTCTGTGTCTCCTTTGGCTTCCACAGCAGCTGGAAAATCAATACCAGTCCCTCTCCCTGAGCCTTCCCCACCTCCTGTCTCCATTCTCTCACCTGACCTGATGACCCCCTTACCTGACTTCCTTTCGTCCTTACCACTGGATGACTCCCTGCCACCACAGCCCGCTCCTTCCTTGGAATCCACATTCCCACGGGACCATTCCCCACCCAAGCCACTTGTCTTTCCCCCTCTCCCACCACATCATACTCAGGGAGCAGAACCTGTTCTCCAACCTGAGGCCACTTTGTCTGTAAAGACCACCTTCACATTTGACCCCATCCTTTCCCAAGATATCGATGCCTTACCAAATTTGTCCCAGGCAATGGATCCCACTGATTCACATACTTGTCATCATGCATCATCAGCCTCCTCTGCTTCACCACCGTCAGACTGTACTTTAACTGTGACTCAATCTAAATCAGTCTCCATCGTATTGAAGCCTGTTCTAGAGATGTCCTCTCCAGATAGCTCCAATGGGTTGTCTACTTATGTCCCAATAGTCAGAGGCATTGATCCTTCAATTTCAGAATTCTCCTGGTGGAAGGCTCATGCCAGGAACATGTTCCTCCCCAGATTACCACACTCTGATTTTCAGCAGGAGCACATTTCTGTCCATCTAACAGAGACTTCTGCTACCAAGCATGTGGTAGACAGTTTTTCTTTCCTTGGTCTTAACATACAGACACTCTTGGAGAGACAAATAAAAAAAAGAATGCCATTGCAGGTTTTGGAGAAGAAAGAAGAGGAGGAAGGACCATTTTTAAAACAAATGTGGTCAGAATACCAACGGACATCTTCAGGGAATTCACTGGAGACACTGGTTGATGGGCAGGACACCACAGCCCCCCAAACTGGCTGGACCACCGAAGACACACCAGAGAATCTGTACATTTGTCAGCAGCTCCTATATGTCCATACTTTGGGAGAAAACTTTCAGAAGAAGTATAAGCAACTCTTTTGGGGTCTTCCCTCTCTGCACAGTGAGTCCCTAATGGCTTCTCTCTTGGTATCTAGGAGCAATTCCCCACTAGAGTCTAGTTTTACCTTATTCAATGGAATCTGTAATGCTCCAGAAGTCCAAATACAGGATCAAGAATCTCCACCATTTTTTCACTCCCATCTTCTTCCCCACACCATTGTACATCCCCATTCCTTTTCTCAAAACAATCTTCAACCACAGATTGTACCTCTCACTCAGGTCCATTCCCAGGCCCACCATCAATCCTCCCTTCCTATGCTACCATCATCTTTTCCACCCCAAGTTAAGGACTGTGGAGTATTTTTCCATACACTCCAGAATGAGCCTGACATTCACATCTCAAATGAAAATCAACATCTGGAATGGCATGTGTTACAGAAGCAACAGGAAAGTTTGTGGGGTTTAGTTCCTGTACTCCAAGGAGCTCAAGAACCTGTCTGTCTTCCAGCTCCTAATTTTCCATTTGTTGCCCAGTCTTCCCAGGCCTCTATTCCAGTCCCCATCTTTCCTGGCCATTTTCATGTCAGTGAAACCCAGGAGCAACTGGAGATCCATGTTCCAGAGAGGCTAATGCCACACTGTTGCTTCCATGCCTGTAGGAATCTAGGATCTGTAGCACTGATGGAGCCTCAGTGCCAATCAACAGAAATATCTCAGCAGAATTACAGTCATACTTATTTACAGCGCTTTGAGCTTCAGGGCCACAGTAGCAAGGATATACATAAGATAGAATTGAGTTGCGCAGAAAGTTTACATGAGAGAGTCGCAACAAAGTTTCAATCAAGCCAGCACGAGACAAAGAATCTTGGGCAGATCTTCGGGAGGTGCCCATTACACAATCCATCAACAATCTCAGATTATGTCTCAGTGAGGGCTCTGAGGGCTGCCTCTGAGGCAAACAGTGACGGGGTATGTCACTCAAGAAATGACTCAGGGAATGAATTACAAATCATATCAAGGAGGAATTTAGAACTGAATGAAATAAAATCCATTCTTAGAGTGCATTTGAGCAGGAAGTCTTGGCAGATCGCTGCAGATAGGATCCCTGTAGGCGTGTGCCATTCATGGCTGGCTCACAACAATGCATGTCCTCCTTCTGGGAGTTCCCACACCGACATGAAAAACATAAATTTAACACCACTATTGGATAGGGCCAACTGCACGACTACCATGCAAGAGCTTTCCTTTCTTGATACCAAAACCCATCAGAGTCTAGAAGCTCACATTATGAGGTTTAGTGTAAGTCAGCAGTGGGGCTTACCCCTTAAGGTTCTTGAATCCATAAAATCCTATGTGTTGAGAGAAGCCATAACATGGCCTCTTCCCCAATTTGACTTTCCTTTGTCCACCACCTACTTTTCTAGGGTGGTTTCTAAGACCCTCAAGGGAAGCTCTGAAACTTTTCAGGAAGACAAGTTAGGAACAGTAAATTCAGTTCCCTGCTTAGATTATCTCCTCCCTGCTACCCCACCTGTGGCCAAAGAAGTACAGGAGGCTCTGGGGCAATCACTCTCTGATGCTGACGGTGAGCTTACGGAGAATGTCCAGATAATTGAGGATGGCAGACAGACTCTTCTGCCCCACACACACAGCAGTATACACAAAGCAAGTCAGAAAGAGAGTATACTAGTCAAAAAAGACAGCCTAAAGCTTCCCACAGGGCAAGATGAGGATGGACATGCATCAGGGAATGAGAGAGTGAGTTCCTGCGACACAGTAGAAAGGCTTCAGGACGAAAGAATGGTGCAGAAGAATTTAGAATATTTTTCTATATGCAACGTGTCTAGGGAGATATTCAAGGCTGAGGAGCTCCGTGCTCTTCAATCAAAATCTACTGATATCTTGACAACCAATGAGTTGGGAAGTTGCTCAATGATAAATGAGAATATGAGTAAAGAAGAAACTACCCTGACCGTCAAATACTCTCCACCTAGAATATTGGTTCCTGAATATATTGAATCATCAGACCTTAATAGAAAGCTGATTAGTCAGTTAAAATTTAAATTGGAGAGTGAGTTCCAGCGCCAGGCTCAAGACTATTCCAGTGACATATTCTATACTTCAGATAGCTTGGGTTCGGATTCCTCCCAGAGTGTCTCCAGTGGACGTGGGGAGCTGGACCTGTCTCCTGGGGAGCTGGAACTGCCAGCTCCCCAGGTGCTGCATGTTCACTTGGACAATGGAGAGATCATCATGGGGCAGAGGCAGGAGCCCTGGGTCCCTACGTGTGTCTTACAGCAGTACCAGAATAAGAATTTCCAATCAGCTGAGAGGAGACTGAGACTTCTGGAAGCCAGAGCAGGAGAAAGAAGACCTAAGTACTCAAGATTAGAGACATCCAAAGCCGTAAGGAAGAGCCATCCTGTCAAAGACAGGAAATTAGAGAAGACTTCCAAGTGTCCGCCCCAGAAGGAACCTCATGAAAGTTATTTCAGAAAAAAGATGAGGCAACTTTTTCAGTGGTTCAGATCCAAGAGAAAAAGCATAGGGCAGGAAAGTCCCCCGCGAAAAGGCAAGTTCATGCCAGCCTTTGTACGGGGCCAAGAACCCATTCAAGGAAGACCTATCTTTTTGAGTTGTGGGCCTCTTGAAGCTTCTGAGCTCATGATGGTCATGGGGAAGATCCTTGAGGAAAAACTGGCATGTAGGCAGCAACCTGAGGCCTTGCAATTAAGTCGGCAGAGGCAGAAATTGAGGGCCCAGGCAAAGCCCCACAAAGGAAAACCCGCCTATTATGTGGTTCCCGTTGACTCATAGGAAGGGGAAGGATCAGGTACCAACTCCTGCAACCAAGAGCTGTCTCTACTGGCCCAAGTTGTCTTGCAAATTTTAAAAGACCAGGGATAGGATCAGACATCCCAGAAAGTTGTGACATTAAAAGACAAGCTATTATTCCAGAGTCATCCCCCTTTTCCCACCCTCCCATCCAAGCCTCACCTGCATGCCAGGTATGTGAGTGCCTCTGGCTGCCCTCACTCCAGGTGAATGTACTGTGTTTAGAGATTTGACTCTTCTATGGAAACAGAAAATTCATCTCCAGCACTTACAGGAAAGAAGAATTTTCCCCAAGGAATAATCCAGTTCTTGTTGAAATAGCCTCTTAGTTTTCATGATAGCACATCCTCTGATGAGAGCCATTTCTTTTTAGCACAACCAAGAATATTGATCCTCTCCAATAAATGTTTCTTCTGCTAGAGAGTGGCGTTCTCTGTGTACTGGAGGCATGGGTTTTGACTATCCCAGAGCTTGTGCTTAGGGAATGGAAGGAATTAGTTTAGTTCTTACTCTTGCCTCTTTTGGCTTCTAAAAGATGATTAGTCCCTTGTAGGGAGCTGACAGTGGCCTTCTCAGTCTTAACCCAGAGTTCTTTATATGTCCTGTAATTAACACATCATATTATTCCATAAAAGGTACAAAAAGTTTACTGTAAAACCCTTCAGGCCTTTTCAATGTGGGAAAAATCCCTAAAGTTCAGAATTTGGCTCAAACCATCTTTTCATCTGCTCCCTGACTACCCTAAACTATATATGGGGTGAGTTACTCTGGCCTAATAAAGCCAGAAATTCCCCTTGCTGCCCCCAGAAGGTTTTGGAATTGAAAGCTGGGGGTGTGTAGGCCCTGAGATGAGGGTGAGGGAGAAATCCTCTTGGATCTCTTGGTGAGGAATAAATGTTACTGCTCCTAGGGGCCAGCCCTTTCCTCCCTCATGAAGTTTGGAGCAATGTGCCAAGTTCCCCACCTCTTACCTTCCCCCGATGAAAATGGAAGCTCACCCTTTCCCCTTTCTCTACCTTTTTGGGAGCAGTAGGGAAGAAAGACTGTGCAGCTCTAAAAGGCACCAGGGATAAGAATACTTTCCTGAAAACAGTGGTTTACTTTCATTTTTAAAAAGTTACTGATTCCAGAGGATCTGGCAGGTGAGCAGTCACTGAGTGGGACATGTATGGATGGGTTTTGCTATTGTGGACACTGGGTTGGCTGGGGCAGGGTCCAGGAAATGGGTGGGTCTTGCTGAAAAATCTATTATGCATAGTATGTTACTGTGTGTGGTAAACTGCAATTTAAGCTTGACTGTAAGGTCTCCTTGTTTGTGCAGGCATTTTGAGGAGAAGGGAGGACCGTGTCCCCAGGGAATCTCTTTAGGATGCCTGGCTTGACAGCATTATTGCAAGACCAAGAGATCACCTGGCAATCACTAGTAGGAATGGTCATCAGGTAGCAGCTACAAAGGATTTGGGAAAAAGAGCACAGTGATACTGTTTCAGTGTAAGAGTTCAAGAGATGGTCTCTGAGCACAACATCTGCAGGGACAATGTCAGACACTAAATCATCTTTTCTGGGGAAGGTGATCCTTATCTCTGCCTTCTAGCCATGCTACATCTTACTCCATCAGTGATTTAGGGGTGTATTAGTTATCTATTGTTATGTAGTGGATACCTCAAAATTTACTGGCTTTAAAAAAAGGATATTTATTATCTCACATTTTTGTGGGCCAGAAATCCAGGTGAGGCCTAGCTGGGTTCTCTGCTTCAGGGTCTCTCATAGGGCTGCAATCAAAGTGTCAGCTAGGGCTGAGGTCTCTTTTGAAGTCTCGAGTGGGGAAGGGATACACTTCCAGACTCAGTTATGTGTTGTTGGCAGGATTCAGTTCCTCAAGGCCTGTTGGACTGAGGTCCTCAATTCCTTGCTGGCTGTTGGGTGGAATTGTCTGGAGGTCTACCTCAGTTCCTCATCAGGTGGGCTTTTCCAGTGTGGCAGCTTCATCAAAGCCAGGAAAGGAGACAGTCTGTAAGAAAGACAAAAGTTACAATCTTTCGTAAACTCAAAATGGAAATATATCTCATCATCTTTCCCGTATTCTCCTAGTTAGAAGCAAATCACTAAGTCCAGCCTACACTTAAGGGGAGGGGTGATTACATAAATGTGTGAATACCAGGAGATAGGATCATTGGAGCCTTCTTAGAAGTCTTCCTAACACAAAGGTCTCTTCTTGGATACCCCACTCAGTTCACTGAAGCCAAAGTGACCAAAGGTGTCAAATGGGTCCTCATCTTCATTCATATCCATGGTTAAGGTCAAAGCTGTTTAATGGCTCGGTGGAACATCAAAGTGGTTGGAGCATCTAAAGAAGAGGAGAAAGCTGGTGTGAAGGTAAAGGTGGTGTGAGGTCACTATGAATGGTAAAGTGAAAGAATCTCTGAGAACTCCCTGACATACCACTGCCAGTGTTCATTCTAGACTTAGAAGGGAGGAAAAATTAGGTGAAATATCCTGGCTCTACCACAGTCTCTCCTAGCTCCCAGATCACAGGCTAAAAGAAGCAACCTTCTGTTCCAATAGAGACAGCCAGGCTTAAAAAGAAGGCTGAAATTTGATTTTTATTTTTACTTTAATTTTTACTTTTATTAATTTATTTAATTTTTACTTTTATTAATATATTTAAAATAGCATGCCCATCATTTCAAATTTGTTTCTTACAGCTTGAACATCACAGATTGAGACACCCAGTTGGTAGAAAAACTAAGACTGGGGAACTCAGAGCATTTGACTCTCATTGTGGGATATTATCTCTATATCCGTTGCTTAAGACTTCTAACAAAGGGAGATGTGATGCCTTAAAGAGCCTGAGTTATTGGCCTGGGGTCACAGAACAAGTCATATCTACTGCCCAGATAACTGCTCCTTCCATTCAGAGAAACACTGGAAGAGGCAGTGAGACAGAATTTGAACTCAAAGAGCACCTACGAAGTGCCCCACCCAAAATGAGGTGGCACCAACAGTGATCCCAGTTGATTACTATACAAGTTTACCAATGCTTCACTGTAGGAAGGGAGGTTGTGTTGACAATGACAAGTTTCTTCTGTGGGAGTTCTTGCTCTACCTACTTACCCAGCTTTGGGTAATCTTCATTTGTGGCAGGGTAATTTACCAAGCTATTGATACTGTTTCTACTCCCTGCCAGAGGGGACCCCAAAAGGAATAAAAGTTAACTTCCCACTTTTGTCTTCCAGGAAGTTCTAGGCTCTTGGACTCAGGGGTTATTAATGGCTTTCATGTTTCCTGACTCAAAACGGAAGCTTTGAGGCCCCTATGGTACAGTCCTATCCAGACTGTCATGTGGGAGGGGAGTTTAGCAGGTGTTCCTGGGAGGGAGGAGCTAAGGGTTAATGTGGGTGCTGGGTTGAAGGAGGGAAAGTTACCTAATGGTTGCGGTGGCTCCAATGACTTGAGAGTAAGGATGTAAAGACATGTTCCTTAAGTGGACGGGTCCTGTTTGGAAGTCCTCCAGGAGACAGCAGGATTTTTAGAGATATACTCACTTTCCTGCTGCTCCTACCCCCTCTAATCTGTTTTCCATTTTTATAATTTTGCCATTTCAGTAATATTTTTATATATGTGAAATCATAGAGTATATAACTTTTGGGGATTGGCTTTTTTTTTTTTTATTATGCTTAATTCTCTGGAGATTCGTCTAGGCTGCTGCATGTATCGGTAGTTCATTCATGTTATTCCATGGCATCCGTGTCCTGCAGTTTGCTTTACCAGCCATTGAATGACAGTTGGTTTGTTTCCAGTTTGGGGCTGTTATGAATAAAGCTTCTATAAACATTTGTGTACAGTTTGTGTGTGAGCATAAATCTTCATTTCTCTATAATAAATAGCCACAAGAGTATAATTGCTGAGTTGTATGGAAGTTTCATGTTTAGTTTTTTATGAGGCTGTCAAATTGTGGCTGTACCATTTTACATTTCCATCAGCAATGTATGAGTGATCCAGTTTCTCCTCATCTTTGTCAGCATTTGCTATTGTCACTATTTTTAAAGAAAAATTTTAGCCATTCTGCTAAATATGTAGTGACAGCTCATCATGGTTTTAATTTGCACTTCCTGAGTGACTAACGATAGTGAACATTTTTCATGTGCTCATTTTCCATCTGTCTATCTTTTTTGGCGAAATGTCTCTTCAAGTCATTTGCCCATGTTTTAGTTGGATTGTTTGCTTTTTTACTGTTGAGTTGTCAGAGTTCTTAATATATTCTGGATATTAACCCTGTTTTGGATGGATAATTTGCAAAGATTTTCTCTCAGTCTTTAGTTTGTCTTTTTATCCTCTTAAGAGAATCTTTTGCAGAGCAGTAGTTTTAAAATTTGAGGAAATTCAGTTTGTCAGTTTTTCCTTTTATGGATTGTACTTCTATTGTCATGTCTAAGAACACTTTATCTAGCCTTTGATCCTGAACACTTTTTTTTTTTTTAATGAAAGTTTCACGTTTACATGTAAGTCTGTGATTCATTTTGAGTTAGTTTTTGTATAAGGTGTGAGATTTAAGTGGAGGTTCTTTTTTCACCTCTATGGATGTCTATTTGCTGAGCACTTTTGAAAAGCTAGGTTTACTCTATTGCATTATTTTTGCACTTTCTCAAAACTTCATTGAGCATATTTGTGTGGAGTCTATTTCTGTTTTTTCTTTTCTGTTTCTTTGATCTATGTATCTGTCTTTCTGTTACTACTACACAGTCTTGATTATTGTAGCTACATAATAAGTCTTAAAATTAGGCAGACTGCAATATCCTGCTTTATTCTTTCCCAAAATTATTTTAGCTATTATAGACATTTTGCTTTTCTATATAAATTGTAGACTAATCTTGTGTACAAAAAATATGTTGGGATTTTGATAGCAACTGTGTTAAGCGTTTGTATCAATTTAGGGAGCATTAAAATCTTGATATATTAAATCTTGTAGCCCATGAACATGGTACAGCTTTCCATTTATTTCGGTCTTCTTGCATTTCTTTCATTGGCTTTCTGTAGTTTTTAGCATACAAGTCTTGTACATATTTTATTAGATTTCATTTTTTTAAGTATTTCATTTTTTTAGTGATTGTAAATGATATTGCATTTTTAATTTCTGTGTACATACTCATTAGCAATATATAGAAACACAATCGTTTTGTTGTGTTTATTTTATATGCTTTGACTTTGCTGAACTAACATATAAGTTTCAGGGTTTTTTTGTTTTGTTTTTGTAGATTCCTTGAGATTTTCTATGTAGAAAATAATGTCATTTACAAATAGGGGCAATTTTATTTTCTTCTTTCTGATATCTATGTTTTTTATTTCTTTTTGCCTTATTGCACTGGCCAGACTTTCCAGCACTTTGTTAAATATGACCGATAAGAGTGGACGTCCCTGC